CTTGAAAAAAACACGGGGGTGCTTAACTTTTTTCCAAGTGTATATTTTATTTATATAGATTCATCATAATTCCATGTATTTAATATCTTTAATACCAGATGTCAGCTATTGTTACGACTGTTACCTAGATACCTATTTTAAAACGGAGTTCCATAGTTAACAAATTTTTATCGCTCAGTACATTGTTACCCGATGAAGGCCTCGGTAAGAGGGCCGAAAGCACGCAAATAAAAGTATTTTAACGTAGTTAAAAGTTCGTGTATAGTCCTACATATCAATTTACCTACATTATGAGTCTTAAACAACATTTATTAGGGGCTACTTAATTAAGCATGATGTAAAATATTGCTTACCTTTTGTGGTACTCCTTCAGAGTAGGCATTTCCTCTCCTATTACTTTCTGGTGAAACTCACAGCTGCACTGCTCGTTCAGAAACGATTTTTGTAGAGTGATTGAAGAACGGTTTGCATCATTATTATCTCCTGTAATTTGTGTAACTCTTTTTTCATAAAAGTCGTTATTGACCTTATTTCAAGTTTGACCTTCTTTATATCTTGTTTTTTGCTACACGGATAATAACGACTTTTATTTAAAAAATATTTTTAAGTATAATAATTTCCACCAATAATATGAATTCTAGCACTTTTATACATGTTTTTTTTTAACCTGTTGTTACAAAACTGTTATTAATATTAAACATTTATTCCCTAACAATTTGTTGTACCAAGCGACAGATGGCAGCATATACTTCTATCTTTCTTCTTTTTTTATGGCTTAAGGGCTATAGGAAAAAATTATAGGCCAAAAAAATTTACCAAAATATGTTTGAGAAAAATATAATATCCAGGTGCACACCCTCAGTATACCCTTAGTATGCATGAAATGTTTCAGGTCTCTAGGTTCTTTAGTCTTAGCTGTGGCGTTGACTGACTGACTGACACACACTTGCCGTTTTGTTAGTATAGATATCAAAAATGTAGAATTTATATGTGATTGAAATTAGTCAGGATATTTTTGTCGTTGGTTAGAACTGTCTCATAGATGAATCACACTCGGAGAGAAGAAACTTTTGTAAGGAAACAAAACAATTTACTGTGGAATACGGAACGAGTGAATGTGGGAAGATGATGCGAAAAGAAAAAGTCAAAGAAGAATTAAAGATACTTGAGCAAGAGCGACTGGCTTTACAAAGTGGCAAGTTTCTCTGTATTTGTTATATATAAATTAAATGAAATGAATTGTTCTCTCTCTCCAATATATAACAAATTTACCATTAGAGAAGAACTGATTTCTATTCATTCATCGTTTTCACTTGTTTACATATGTTTTCTCTCTCTCTAATATAAGAATTGGCTGGATTCCATGACTGTTTACATACCATTCAGAGTCTACGTAAGGAAACCACTATTTGGACCCAAGAACTAGCAAATTTGAGAAACATTCATGAAGGTCAGCGTTTTTATGTGAAGTATATGTATTTGTAGAGAAATTGGTAAAAATCAGATCACCAGTATATTTCCTTGATAATATAACTGATGTATTTATTGCCATGTGACCAAGATTTATTATGATTAATGTGTTTCATATGATTCAGTTTACACTGAACCTAGGAATCGCATTAAAAATTAAGTTATTTTGTTATTTAAGATTGTAAACAAACAACAAGTCACCTATTTTCTATTCACAATTCTATCAGTAACATGAAAAAATTACAGTTGTCGGGGGTACATCAGGAGGAGAGAGAGGGGACCTTGGATTATTCTCCCCCCACTCTAAAATGTTTACAAATACAAATAAAAGATAGAGGACTCAAGTCTAATCCTCTAATAATATTCTGTTATGCAATAAAATGCTAAATAAAATTCACCAAATGTTAAATAGGGTTATATCGTTATACCTTGAATAATATAATTGGGCCTTGACATATTCAACACAAGTTTTAGTGACCAACGCTGACCCCCCCCCCCCCTCCATACGAAATAATACTTTTAAATAGTATGAAATCATAATAATTAGTTTTGAACGTCAAAAACTCATGGTTGTAATGGGTTATAAACTGTGATATAGGTTTTACAGTAAGTAGTTAAGTATTTGTAAAACACTATAGAATTCAAAGCAATTATGTGTGCGTATATGTTATAATCTTACGGTATTTTTGATGTACACATAATGGTTTTCAAACAGGTGCGTCATATTTGGGGAGTGCTATATTGGCAGCAGACTCGAGCTATAAAATACATATATATATACAAATTACGTCATAGCTTAGGGCCCATAGTTGAATTGTGAAATAACTATGCTGTTTTCACAAACATAAATTATACTAAAATGTTTTAACAACAAATAGTTAATGCGTAGTGTTACATCTGTATACTACTAAAACTATGTGATCGTTTGTTTGTTTGCACAATGGCGCCATATTTATAATGAAATGAGAATAGAAACAAGATAAAACAAGTTTCGTTAAAATAGAGCCACGGGTTACCGAGTTAGCGCCGTTTTTCGGGTCACTTTTATGAAAATTTCTAGCACGAGTAATTTTACATCACACTACCGTTAGCGCTCTTTACGAAACTTCGTTCAAAACTATTTCCTTGTAAATGTTCCCATCTTCATTAAAAGGCATAAGATGACAAAAACAAGATCTTGAAGAATTTCTCAATAATGTTTCTTGGTTATGGTAGATAATTCGAAGAAAAAATAAAGTGTTACTGTTTCTTATTTGTAGAAGGTTTAAGAGGAAAGACCACAACATAATGAACTAATTCATCACAATACCAAGAAATTCTGACTCCACTTTTTTGAAAAATGAAATGATCTTTACTTTTACTCCCGATCAACAATCAAATATCTTTTATTGAATTATGAATAACACGAATGGATTGAAATATTTAATTAAATTATCTCAAAATAAACCTTCATTTCGGTGCAATATTGAAATTAGCTTGAATCCTTCATAACCTCTGATTAGTGGGTGACCCAACGGGTCACGAGTGGTCTAGTAATGTTACTAAACTTTCAGAGTAGTGTTAAACAAACCCCATACAACTTTGTCAAATAGTTACACATATTTAAGGTAAATTACTTCAGATATACAATGTGTTTGTTGTGGTCCTCACAACGTGTTAAGGTAAACCTAGGCGTCTACCACTAGTTAACAAATAAGGGTGAAAATGGGTGGTAAACTACATTTAGAGGATAAATTTTAATGTTATTACTAATTCACCTAGCCGTCTCACGAGTCATTATGCTGTTTTATAGGTATGTAACATTATGTTGGCCTAATAGATATAGCTATCTATTATCCTCATTGCTATGTTTTTAGTAACCTAATTTTATTTTTCCTTTGTTTTTTTTTGTTGCCTTTACTTTCCGATGACAGGTTACACACACAAATTTTAATTTATAATTATAGCTCTTCACCTGTAAAGTTTGTGTAGTCCAATCCATGGTGTATTTTCACTGCTCTGTGATTCCCATACTTCTTCAGACATCTCTTTCTTATTAATGTACATTTTCATTCCCACTGGGTAGCTTTATCTATTTTCTCTAATGAGCAGTACGTTTTTGGTGTGTGGTTTTCTTTTGTGTTATTGCCTAGTTATTTGTACTTTAAAATAAAACTATCCAAGGTATATAAAAAATTTAAAAAACTGTAGTGTTACATCTTTCTATTGAATGTCAAAATTCCCATTTTTATAAGTATAATGTGTATCATCACTTAAACCTCAAGCCAAATACAACTACGTGTAATTGTGCAGGGTCCCTGAAAGTGAAGAGTAAATAAAACCAAAATTAACAATAATAAATATTTATATTTCTTACTTTTGAAGTTCATATGTCATGCTGTGTTGTATCCTACAGAGTGCATAATTCTTCTCGTGATTCATGGCATGCGCACGTTTTACAGACGTTTTGCAACGTTAAGCGCCCCTTATATGGCGTCATTTTAGTGTCTACTTACTGACTGACAGACAACACATTACTGTATACTGGTGCGAGTGGTTAAAATAGGTGCCTCCTTTCGGAGAAATAGTATTTAGTAGTCAGTGAAGTACGAAACCAAGAAATATATCGTTAATGTCTGACTTGCATGGAACTTATTCCTTTTAAAACGCAACTGTATACATTCTGAGGAACGTATAAGTGTTTAGAACAAATCTGGTGAATTTTGAAACTAAAACTATTTGACTGCTTGTGTGTGTATAATATAGTATACCTTAACATTGTTTTCTATTACAGAAACCTTAATATCTCAGAGACGTGAAGAATTACATCAGTAAACTTCTGGATTATTGTAGTTTAGTAGTAGACTCTTGAAAAATCATTTTGTTGACTGGTCAACTCAGTAATAATAATAATAATTTAAATTAATAATATTTTATTTTCTCAAACTGTAGTCAGTGAAGCTTTATCGGACTTTCAGAAAGATACGTAGGTTTTGGTTTTGTTTTGTTTGAATTTCGCGCAAAGCTACACGAGAGCTATCTGCGCTAGCCGTTCCTAATTTGGTAGTTATAGACTAGAAGTGAGGCAACTAGTCATCACCACCCACCGTTAATTCTTGGGCTGCTCTTTTACCAACGAATAGTGGGATTAACTCACATTATAACGTCTCCACGGCTGAAAGATCCCAATGTTTTGAAACATAGGTCCAAAGACATCGGCTGTCAGATCATAGTCAGACTATAGACCTTATGTATCGCTTCGACCTTTCTGGTTTATAAACTGAGATATACGGTGGTTTCAGATCCTGTTTAGGGCCCGGTTTCAGCCTCATTACCATATATCGCTATAAGTATGTGATTTGTTACCTTTACCATACATACACATCGCTGTTACTGAGTTCAATTACTATCACACTTCTTTAGCATGTTCTTGATCAGTCAAACTTTCGTTACTTCATTTTAGTTTCATCATTAAAGTTTGGGAATATGTTGTTTTATCTTATGCTTATTTGTAGAAAAGAAGAAACAATTAAGATCTATCGAGACGAAACTTGAAAGTATTTTACAAGAAAAAGAGAAAATTAATCTCATTCCAGAAACTGGAATAGAATTTAAAAGGTATGGCCATGTAGAAAAGTAAAGTCATGCATAAAATATGTTGCATTACTTGGTACTTATAAAATTCTTGTGAGGTTTATAATTTTGCATGTTCTTATTTTCAATTTTGATTTACCGTTTTCCCTTTTTTTGTTATTATTATTCTGACTTTTCTAGTAAGCTTTTCGAAAGGCAAATTGAAATTAATAACATATTTATTCCTCTAAGTTCGTGTACATAATTAGATCATTTGGTCATTTCGACGGATAAAACTATACCATTGATTTTATTTCAGTTTAACCTAAGATCAAATTTCACCAGAACTATGGTTTGTGGCAATCAAACTACAAAACGTTTCTAGAAAAAAAAACATATAAAATGTAGATAGGGCAAAACTAGTAATTTTTATAAATCCAAGATGGCCACTCAGTGCAACATTTATTTTTGTAAATATGTCTCTGTATATATTACATTTAGGGAAGTATTACTCAATTGATCCTAGTAAGAAATAAAGAACTTCAAATAGATGTTTATACTGCTGCTTTTAGAAACACTTAGCCAACTAAATGACCAAGATTTTCAAGATGCCCGCCGATCACCTTACCAGTGTCTATCTCCAATGCAATAATAAATGTTAGAGTCCGATTTAAAATATTATATTTTTTTAACCATGATAAATACCACAGGCTTAATTTTAGCTTTTGATTTACATAAATATCATGACAGAGTAGCATTAAGTAACACTGAATCCATTCAATCCTCACTTGAACATTATCCCTACATACATATCCCTGAATCACTCAATTCGGACATGGCCAAAACTATACAAATACACAACCAGATCACTCAAATCGGACATGGCCAAAACCATACAAATACACACCTAGATCACACAAATCGGACATGGCCAAAACTATACAAATACACACCTAGATCACACAAATCGGACATGGCCAAAACTATACAAATACACACCTAGACACACTCAAATCGGACATGGCCAAAACCACACAAATACACAACCAGATCACTCAAATCGGACATGGCCAAAACCACACAAATACACACCTAAATCACTGAAATCGGACATGGCCAAAACCATACAAATACACCCCTAAATCACTCATATCGGACATGGCCAAAACCATACAAATACACACCTAGATCACTCAAATCGGGCATGGCAAATGTCATACAAATATACACTCAAATCAGTCAAATCAAACATGACCAAAACCATACAAATACACACCTAGATCACTCAAATCGGACATGGCAAATGTCATACAAATATACACTCAAATCAGTCAAATCAAACATGACCAAAACCATACAAATACACACCTAGATCACTCAAATCGGACATGGCAAATGTCATACAAATATACACTTAGATCACTCAAA